CTCAATTAAATAATGGGCAATGGATTTGAATAGACATTTCTCTAAAGAAGACACAGAAATGGCCAACATGAAAGTATGCTCAATATCACTAATCATGAGGAAAATACATATCAAAACCACAATGAGACATCATGTTACACCAGTTAGGATGGCTATTATCCACAAACAAACATAACAAATGTTAGTGAGGATGTGAAGAAATTGGAACTTTTGGACACAGTTGGCGTGAATATAAAAAAAATGCAGCCACTATGGAAAACAGTATGGCAATTCTTCAAAAAATTAAAATATAAAACTACCATATGATCCAGCAATCTCACTTCTGGATATATATCCAAAAGAATGTAAATCAAAATCTCAAAGAGGTATCTGGAGTCCCATGTTCATTGCAGCACCATTTATAATACTCCAAAATACGGAAACAACTTAAATATCCATCAACAGTTGAATGGATTAAAAATGTGATATATACATATGATTGAATAGCATTGAGCCTTCTGCCTATGCAATGACATGGACGAACCTGGGGCACATGATGCTAAAAAAAGATAAGCCAGTCATAAAAGGCAAATATTGCATGATTCTACTTTATATGGGTTATCTAAAAATAGCCGAACTAAGAGTAGCAGACAATACTTTGTTGCATGCCAAAGGCTGGGGATAGGAGAAGATGGCAATTTGTTGTTTAATGTATATAAGGTTTCAGTAATGCAAGATAAATAGGTTCTAGAGATTTACTGGATAACATACAGTCTATTATGTTAACAAACTGTACTATACACTTAAAAAATTTGTTAAGAGGGTAGATCTCATGTTAACTGTTCTAACCACACAAAAAAGTAGGGGACAGGGAAGAAACTTTGGAGGTGATGGTAATGTTTATTTCCTTGATTGTGATGATGGTTTCATGGGTGTATGCATAGGCCCAAACTTAATCAAACTGTATACATTAAATATGTGCAGTTTTTCTATATCAGTCATACCTCAATCTTTTTTTTTTAAAGATTTTATTTATTTATTTGTCAGAGAGAGACATAACGAGAGAGGGAACACAAGCAGGGGGAGTGGGAAAGGGAGAAGGAGGCTTCCCGCTGAGCAGGGAGCCCGATGCGGGGCTCGATCCCAGGACCCTGAGATCATGAACTGAGCCGAAGGCAGACACTTAATGACTGAGCCACTCAGGTGCCCCAATCTGTTTTTTTTTTTTAAAGAAATAAACTTAAAACAAAGACTTGGATAGGTTAAAAGTAAAAAGTAGAAAATACATACCATTTGACCACTAATCAAAAGAAAGTTAGAATGGTGATAGTAATATCAAAGCGATATCAGAACAAAGAATATTACCATGGATAAAGAAGATCTTTTCATAATGATAAAGTGGTCAACTCACACATTCTAGGTAGTTCTGCTTGTAAGCATTTTCACCACATAACTAATTGGCCACAAGGCAATTTTGCTATAAAAGATAAAATCATCAAAAATAAAAAGGCATTCACTAAAAAAGACATAATGAAACACAAAAAAGGAATAACAAAATTAAGAAGACTCTTGTGAAATATGAACTATTTGAATATACTTAAAATGTGTGTGGATTCATGTCAATGCTGTGCAAATAACCGATTTTTTTTTTTTTGTGGATTGTAACTAAGCACTTGTCTTCAAAGTCTTTCATTCATAGTATTACACATTTTTTTTGCTTGCTAATTTATCTCCTCATTCAGCATCACACTTTTTTTGCTCAAATTTCTTCCTTCTTTAAGAGAGGTATCAGTTTCCAAATGCTAAGTTGCAATTATGGAACTGAATTTTGTATTGCACTGTGAAAGCCTTCAATGCCGTTGTTTGGTTTTGGCATATTGTCACATGTCCATTGATGAATGTTCCAAAGGTCTATGGAAAATGTGAGTTCAACACTCTTTGCCACTATACAAACCATTATGAGGGCTAAGATTTCTGTAATATAAAAATGGGAGTACTGTGCTAATAGAGCAATGAAACCAAACTTCAGCCAGTTTTTGTTGTTGGTGTTGTCATTATTTTTTATGGAAAAATTGCCTTATGGCCAATTAAATATTCAGTGGAAATGCTTGTGGCAGCTCTGTGGAAAAGATGCTTACTGTGAAAATACTGGACATGCCTTGAAAGAAGCCACCAAAAGACTTGTCTTTTATTTTATCAAACTCAGAACTTTCATCTAATGCTACAGCCAGTCCCGGGGGAAGGAGCATTTGTCAAATACTTCACAGTCAAGTGTTCAGGTGCTTCTGGTTGAAAGACCATCACCAAGAAAAACTGTGCCCAAGTCAGGTTTGTCTCAGCAATGCAAGGTATATTTAACATTCAAAAATCAATCACTGTGATTCGCCAACAGACTAAAATGGAAAACCATACTATAAAAGATGCAGGGAGTATCTGATAAAACCTAATGTCCATTCTTTATTAAAAAAATAATAAAAACTATCAGCCATTAATGAAATGTCTGATACTAGGGCTGGGGCAGGGGAAAAAAAAATGAGCCTAGAGTCTTTCTGCATCTGGATCTTTGCTTCTATAATACAATCCTCACCCATTCTACCTCTTTCCTAAAACACAATCTGCTAGTCTCTTACACATTCATGAAGTTTAAGGGGCTCCCCATTGCTTACAATAAAAGTTTAAATTCAATGCATAGTCTACAAGGTACTTCATTTCACCTCTCTCTCTTTCCAGATTCAATTTCTGCTAGTTTTTTGAAACATATTCTACTCTTAGCTACATGGGAGTCGTTCAGAATTCCATATGTATGTTTTTTCCTTTCCTGGCTGCATATTTTGTGCAAGCTATTTCCTGGGCTTAGAGGGTCCTTCTCTGTATTATTTCTGAAAAAAATCCAGCTTACGCTGATCTACTCCTGACCCAACTTCAATCTGTTCTTTCTTTTTTTCCTTACATATCAATTGGATCATGGTTTACCCTACTAAAATATTTTGGAGCATACAGAAATCTCATAGGCCTCGGGCGCCTGGGTGGCTCAGTTGGTTAAGCAACTGCCTTGGCTCAGGTCATGATCCTGGAGTCCCGGGATCGAGTCCCACATCGGGCTCCCTGCTCAGCGGGGAGTCTGGTTCTCCCTCTGACCCTCCTCCCTCTCATGCTCTCTGTCTCTTATTCTCTCTCTCGCAAATAAATAAAATCTTTAAAAAAAAAAAAATTTTAGAAATCTCATAGGCCATACATTCCAATATGCTATTCTTACTTTTCTTTAATAGCTCTATATAATCTACATCTTTAATATAGCTTTTACTTAAATCTTTCCTTCAAGCCCCCTTCTCATGGGAGTAGGAAACCTAAGTCAATTATTTTCAGGTTCATCAAATCGTTTTAGTGTTTTCTTAGTCGTCTCAAATATAAATTCTGTCCTGGGTGCCTGGGTGGTTCAGTCAGTTAAGCGTCTGCGTTAGGCTCAGGCCATGATCCTGGGGTCCTGGGATGGAGTCTTGCAACAGGCTCCCTGCTTAGCAGGGAGCGCTTCTCCCTCTCCCTCTGCCCCTACCGCCTGCTCATGCTCGCTCGCTCTCTCTCTCAAATAAATAAGTAAAATCTTTAAAAAACATATGTGTGTGTGTGTGTATATACATAAATTCTGTCCTTTCTGACTATCCCCCCTTCCCTATCTTTGACTCGGAATGGAATCTAAGGTAGAAAGACTACTGTTATTTACATCAGTGGAGGCATTTACTGCTGTCATTCTCTCTTCTCTGCCATCCACTAAAATGATAGTTATCTCTTCCTGTGTATTTTTAGTCTTTGGCATATATCCCCGTTGGTATCTGCTGAAACATTTTTTGCCTGTTGGCCTCCATTTGCATGATCCATGTTCACTAAAACACTACTTCATGCTGTCAGCCAAATTCAGCTGTATGTCAGCTACTCAGGATTACAGGGTATGACTGTTGTCTGATGCTTCTCTCGGTGCCCTGTAGTAGACCAGGGCTGTCATCAGCCATATCTTCCTGTCACCTACATAGCTCAGTGGGTTAAGCCTCCTACTCTTAATCTCCGTCCATGTCATGATCTCCAGGTCCTGAGATGGAGTCCTGCCAAGGGCTCTGAGCTCAGCACCAATCAGCTTGGGATTCTCTCCCTCTCCCTCTGCCCCTCCCTCCCCCTCTTGCTGGTGATCAAGCTCTCTTTCAAGAAAAAAAAAAAAAAAAAAAAGACACTCTTATCACCAGAAATACTTTAAAGTTGAGAAAGCTGTAGAAATAAAACTTGTTACATTTTTACTAATCTACAACCTCAGCCTAAATTCCCCTTGGTAAGCTCCCAAATGCCTGTTTTCCTTACAGTTAAATTCCTCACAAATTTATTGTGTTTGTCTAAAATGTATAAAAGCTGCCTGACTTGGTCATTTCTTTGTGTCTCAATATATTATTGGTCCTCTATGCATGGATAATAAAACTTTGTGTCTTTTCTTTCTGTTAATCTAGGTCATGAATATTGAATTCTTAGGCCAGCTGGAAGACGGTGAAGGGTAGAGGAAGAATTCTGCCCTAGTGTCCTTCTAGGGTTATTCCTAGTGAGCCCCTCCAAGGCTTCTCAGGGTATACACTTTGCTTTTCTGCAGCATGTAACAAACTTAACTTTGATGAGCTTATTGATAAAAGGCACTTAGCAAACATTTAAAAGCTTAGAGATAAAGATGAATTCATATTGCTATTATAAGCAACAATTTAAGTAATGCTTATGTATGAGCACAGCAGTCCTACATACTAAATTTCATAAACCCAAAGAATCTACCTCAATTCAACTTCTGAGAGTTGATAAAAAAGACTGGCGGGAAGGTGATGGCCCAGGAACTGGAAACTCCCGTGCAGGAAAGGGTTCCTGCCTCTCGGAATTCTTAAGAACCTCCGCACAGCTCATCCCTATAGAGCTAGAGGTATGCGCATGCGCAGTACCCGCGGGCTGCGCCGCGGTCCCTTCTGCGCCTTGGGTTTACATCCGGGTCTTTGGGCTTTGCGTTCCACACGCCGGCTCCGGGTTGCTGGGTGCTGGTTGTTTCCGCTGTTCCAACATCGGAAGTGCGGGTGGGTCGGCAGGTGAGTCCGGGCTGGGGACCAAGAAGGGGAGTCAGGCGGGGAACAGGTTGGTCATTGCCCCCTGGGGTGGGATTTGTGCCGAAACGGGGGCGTGCGGCCAGGACAGATTGGGGTCCCAGGAGCTTCGAGGCGGGGCTAAGGATGACGCGTGGCTGCTGGTGCCCTTCGAAACTGGGCCTCCGGGAGCAGGTTCCTATCCCATCATGTCTTTTGGCGGCTTTCTCCTGACACTTGTTAAAAATCAGTATCAGTCACCCTCATTTGTATTCGTTATAGTTTGCGGAGTGATTGGGCTCAGCAGCCACGCACCTAAGGTGGATTTGCAGCCCTGGCGTTTGCCTTCTAGGTAGGGAACACAGCCTTCTCTGCTGCTTCTCGCCCCACATAGGGATGGGGCTCCCCTGCCCTGCACTTCAGAGACATTTTCAGGTCAGGTGTAGAAAAAAAGCTCAGAGCAGGAATTCTGAAGTTCAGATGCTAGTGTAGCTCCTAGACTAACTGTGCAACCTAAGTCTTGTGCAAGTTCTCATCCTGCTCCAGAGTCCTGAGATTTGTATTCAGCAGCGCATTCTCCAAGTTAATGCACATTCAGAATGAATCAGCACCAGAGGAAGGTGAGGGAATTGGCGGGGGGGGTGCTGTGTCATTTTTTGAGCGCTATGTGGTTGTGATGCCAGAGAATTGCCCTGAGCCACACCAGTTTGGATCTATGAGGATTGGCAAAAACACATTTTTTAATCTGAATAAATGTGACCAAAACATTTTGCTTTCCTCTGCGTGGAATGATTCATTTGAGGCTTGTGTAATGAAGTCTGAGTACTCTGAATTTAAAACAAACAAAACTTGCCTGTACCTGATCTGAGAGACTTAACTTGAACTTCTTTGCAATGAAGTCTCTTCCTGTGGTGTTCTTTTCAAAATTTAACCTGATTGTAATAATCATCTATGATATTTCTAAAAGTGCAGATTCCATGGATCCCATTTCACATCTGTTGAAACACTTATGTCCGGTGAGAGGGGCCTGGGAATCCATATTTTTAGCAGGCATCCTAAGTGCTTCTTTTAAGGCACATCTGGAGCATGGGTCTTTCAGTCAGATAGACCCTCTACCATTAATAGCTTTATAACTTTAGCAATAAATATCTGAGTTACAGTTTTCTATATCTGAAAAATGAGGATGATAATTTTTACCCCAGAGACTATTCAGCGATTCTAAGCCCTTAATAGTAGGGCCTCTATCTTAATCATTTTTGTGATTACACAACTTAGTGCTTGCATTTAATAGGCCCTCATAAGTGTGTTGAATTGAGAAAAAGAGATAGCGTGCCCAGAACACAGAAGATACTTGGAAATTCTAATGCTCTTCCTCCTTACCTTACAATTCTTTTTTCTTTTTATCAATAATCAGTTTGCTGAATATTCTTGTTAGAAGTAAGTATATCTCTTGATGGCCATACTTATTAAGAGTTAAGTATATCTCTTTATGGCCAGGAAATGTTTCTGATTCTTGGTGTAACTTTGAAATTGTTTCTGGCATTAGATCATTAATGAATTTAAATAGAGGCCAAGTCCATTTGTGTTGGAGTGAATTTATGACTTCCTATGTAGATTATTGTCTGTAAATGCTATTTGTCTCTCGTTACTGTGCCAGAATTTTAAATCACGGTGATCATAATTTCTTGTTATGCCAGAATTCTAAATCTTTATGTTTTTAAGGATATCATTTAGGTTTCATATATTCATTGTAATAAGACCTACTATTCCCATTAATTTCAAGAATTTGACTTATTTTTGCATGTAAAGTGTATAGAAACTCAGGACTGCTGAAGCCATTTGTAAAAGGATTGGTGTGGGTGACAGATCCATTTAAATATGAAACTAAGAATTAAAATCTGGGAATTAGGATACAGTGTAAATGTTACAAATCTTGTCAATATAAAAATAATACATTTTACGGAAATCAGGGGTTGTGAGTCATGGTAGTAGGTCAATCCACATTGTCTAAAATGGAATCATAGTTTTTAAATGACTCTGATCTCAATATTTTGTCTTAACCTTAGATTACTCTTTTAGGAACTAAAATTGCTTTTTATGAAGAATTTTTTTTTCAGAGATCAGCAGTTTTAGTTCACTTTTTCTTTTTTTAAATTCAGGAAGAATTAAATATTATGCTTTTTATTAAAAACAGCATGTCTAGTATGAATCTCATTGTTGAAAATTATTTCTATACATTCTATTTATATGTGTGCGCATTAGATAGACATCTGGAATGTTGTATGCCTAATAATAGTTTTTATTTATGAGTGTAGGATTTGAGTTGATTTTTTTTTTCTCTTACACCTTTCTATATTGAAAAATTTTTAAGTGCAGGTATCATTTTTACAAAAACATTTAACAAAAGGGAGGTTTGGTTATTACAGTATTTATAGGGAGAGTTTTGGATTTTAGTAAGTACCCCAGAGGTTGCTAAGTATCATTACTCCCTTTAACTTGCATTCAAGAAATGAGTACTGCTTTCTTTGCCTTTAGGTTTGTTTTATGTTGCTTTATATAACATCCCTGTCAAGACAGTGTAGTGTCGTGGCTTATAAAAACTTTAAGTTTGCCTTGATATGAATTCTGGCTTTGTCATTTAGTAACTGTGTGACCTCAGTCAAATTATGTGACTTCTTCTCCTCATCTAAAAGTGGGTGTTATATTTAATTCAGAAGATTGTGTATGTACCTAAATTACGTAGGCCACTGCTCAGAACCCAAGGTCTGTTCAAAAGAGAAAGGCTATTACTATTTTAAAAGTACAGGTTGTATTTGTATATAAGTATGTCTTTTTTAAGTGATGTCCTTTTTAAAGTCATCAGTCATCATAAACACTTATGTTTGAGTGTCTGTAAATTACTTAAAATGCTCTACAATGGAATTTTCTCAGGTTTGAACTTCTTGTCCTGGAAGCTGTGCATCACCATAATGAGGCTTGTAATTCTTGATAACTATGACTTGGCTAGTGAGTGGGCAGCCAAATACATCTGTAATCGCATCATTCAGTTCAAACCTGGACAGGACAGATACTTTACATTGGGTTTACCAACAGGTAATACACCTTCCCCCCCCCCCCATTTTAGGTACATAAAATCATGGGATGGAAGGGTTTCTTTTAGTAAAATATGTTTCCCCTTTATTTCTTGCCATATCACTGAATGAACATATTAGTATATAGAGCCAGAAATGTGTATATAACTATCTGGTATCTGTGTTTCATTACTGTTTTCTTATATTAAAATTATGTATCACTTACCACTCCAAAATGCAAAAGGAAATTTCTTGTATTAAAATTATACATCACTTTCCACTCCAAAATGCAAAAGGAAATATCTTAACTTAAGTGATGGTCATAATATTTTTGTACCTTTATCTAGTCATCTTTTGTTTGTTTTTAAGGATGTTACTTTCACTATTCATATACTTAATTAGTAGATTAGCCTTTCTAATGATTGTTAAGAGGTATCTGAACTATGTACTCTTGTCTCTTCATTTTACTTCCCCCCGCCTCATATACTTTTATTATCTTATTAGCCTTTTATAATTTGTGTTTATTTTCTTTTTATTATAGAAGTATTATGACTGAAAAATTGAAGACTGGTATGTCTTCATGACAGAGTAAACCTAAGTATGAATTGCACGTTTTGTTGTATTTAGTTCCCTGTTAAGGTTTTTCTTAAAAATTAACCAAGTAGTGTCATTGATCTCATGGCACTTAATTTTTTTTTTTTTTTCATGGCACTTAATTTGATATTGTTGACTTCCACAGTAAAGAGTATTGCACCTGGAATCAGAGCTACTACTTACTTTCTTGGTGACTGCAAGGCATTTATTCTACCTCCCTAATCTTTGGTTTCCTTTCCTTTAAGAAAGATAAGGATAATAATAGCCGATAATGCTGTTTGAGGCTCAAATAAGGCAGTGTTTGTGCCACTCCCTTATGTACTGTAAATACTGTATAAATTTAAGGTTCCCATAAGTGTGTCTTATTTAAACAGTATTTTTTTCCTTCTGCTCCTCCCCCCATATGTGCTAACTACATAAAAGCTACAATTATACTTTTTTCCACTTGTGTAATTTCCATGAAAGGTATTGTTTAGCTCATGAAGTTGTTTGTTTGTTATCTTGCTATTTGTCTTTTGGTCCAGGGCAGTAGATCTTGGTGAGAATGGTAAAGAGGGACTTTTAAAAACTGTACACACCAGACTGGCAGCATCAACACCCACATTTTTTATACATGAGCCCCAATGGTTGGACATGGCCTCTGTATCAGTTTGCATACTGTAAACCCAGGCTGCAACCAGGCTAGCTGCTTTGATCACTCTGTCTTAATTATGATGTAGAAATAAACAGTAATTTTAGCTTGGGGGCAGAAAGTCTTCAAAGTGATGAATGCAAGCAGTCTTAAACATACTTTTGTGTGTTTAGATCTACAAGTTTTGCTTACTTTAGGATAGTTTAACTGCTAATAATGCACCTGCCAGTGACGTATCTTGGAAAACCTTTGTTGACATTTTCCACTTTCCTCCTTCATTGACCATTGACAATGTTAATCACGCTCTCTCCTCCTTGCTTTTGAAGTTTGAGCATATGTTTATGTAATTGTATGTAGCATGCTGTATTGTAATTATCCCTCCACCAAGCACAGTTTCTGGAGAATATCTTTTCAGTGCTTATTGATGTGATCTTAACAAGCTTCACATGTAAGGGCCTGCATGCTTCCTGCCTCCCAAACTTATTCCCTGATTCTCTTACTCTGAATCATGATAGGAAAATTAGACTACTTGTAGTTCAAAGAATAGACCTGACCTTGCTGGCTTTACTTTCATCATGTTGCTAGTGTGTTACATAATGAAAACTATATGAGCCATGGAACCAGACAGAATCTCTTGAATCTCTGGCTTCATTACCATATGATATTTGGCAAATTCCTTAATCTTTTTGACCCAGTTTTTCCATTCTCAAAATGGGAAAGATAATGCCAATTTCCCAAGGTTTACATGAGCTGATGTATAAAAATACCAGTATATAGCATCTAGCACATGGTAAACATACAAATGTCATTTCTCGGCCTCCTCCCCCATCTTTTTTTGTTCTCAACTACAACCTAACCCTAATTTTAACTATTGGAATTCTACCCCTTCTTCAAGACTTAGTTGAAATGTCATCTTCTTGGATATCCTTCCTTCAACAAACAAGACTATAATCTTTTCTTCTTTGATTTACAACAGTTCTCCAGACTTCTTATAGGTTATTTATAATATTTTTGTTATGATTATTTGCCTATTCCTATCTTGTGAGGTTTTTTAGGATAGAAACAGTTTTAATTTTTCTTTCATCTGAATCATAGTAAGCACTTGGTAGTAGTTATGTTAGTAAATAAGTTTTGCAAAGCAAATATTAAAATGAAGTTTCTTTAACCAGTGCACCATGTACCGGATCTTTCATTATTTTTTTTTCTTCAGCCACTGGATTAAAAAGTAGGAAATGAATGTGGGTTTTTTTGTCTTCACCATTGTGACTCCACCTTTTTTATTCATATATTCTTAAATCGAGGGAGTCCTATAATTAAACTCTTAACATTGAAACAAACACAGATTTGTTTATGCTTCTCAAAAGAAGGAAAAGCACACTTATCCATCTTTAAGATAGGTCTTATGTTAGTGGGTTATAGTTCTTTGAGATGGAATTGTAAAATTTATAAATTATTATAATTTAAAACTATGTTTGCTTTAGCTTTAAAAAAATCTTTAGTCTGTTCTCTGAACCTATATTTATTATTTATAGCCACTTGTATTATTCTTTCATCTCAAATGAAAGGCAATCTTTTTACTACTATAGAATTTACTTTTTTGTTTTGTTTTCTTTCGCCAAAGACTGTTTAGTTCTGTCATACTTCTGTCTGCCACTTGAGTAGAAATTTTGTGTGCAGATGTTTTGTTTTGTGATGGTGGATATATTAGGAATTAATCAATACTCCAGCCAGGATAGGGAGGGCCAGATCTCTTGTTAAGAATGCATTCAATCGGGACGCCTGGGTGGCTCAGTCGTTAAGCGTCTGCCTTTGGCTCAGGTCATGATCCCAGGGTCCTGGCATCGAGCCCCACATCGGGCTCCCTGCTTGGCGGGAAGCCTGCTTCTCCCTCTCCCTCTGCCCCTGCTTGGGTTCCCTCTCTCGCTGTCTCTCTCTGTCAAATAAATAAAATCTTTAAAAAAAAAAAAAGAATGCAGTCAATCTCTAACCTTCCAGTTTGTAGTTAAAATGAAAAAATACAGCAAATTTAAAAATGGAGGCCATCTACAAGTGGCTAAATTTATTTATCTTTATTGTGCCATGTCAAGAAGCACTATCATACTGATTTTAGTTTTATAAAACATGTAAAAGAATCACATTTATAAAACAATAAAATCAGATAAAATATCCAAAGCCAAGATCCCATCTCCCAGAGGTCATTTTACTTTATACATTTTAGCTGATATATGCTGAAAATAACACAAAATAAGAAACAGAACCTCCAGTTAAAATCATAAAGGCTAATGTTCCTCAAACAGTCCTTGCCAATTTCTGAGTCTATTTTGAAAGTAGAGACAGTATTTAAATTTAGCTCTGGTTTCCCTTTTGATTTCATTAAATGGTCAACTTGACCTTTTTATATTTCATTTATATGACATAAATCCTTCTCTATAAAAGCTTTTACTCAAAGGTGAGGTGTTTATTTTTCTTTTAATTCAAATGTGCTTTCTAGAAGTTTCTAATCTTGTAATATACAACATTAATTCCAAATACTGAACAACTCTAGAATAATTTTCCAAACTATAATTTCTATTGACAGATTTCTAGTTTTAGTCAGCAAATTCTAATTTACTAAGATTTCAAGGTACCTTGCAAATGTATGTATAATTCAAAATACATTTGTTAATTGAATATGTATTTAAATTAATCATTGTTTCCCTAGTAAATTAGAAATAGAGAATATCATTAAGAGAATAAAGTAAATATAAACTTTTTTAAAAAAATAAGTTTTTCATGTTATGTTAGAAAATGGACTCTCTGTCTGTTTTAGGAAGTACACCTTTAGGATGTTATAAAAAACTAATAGAATATCATAAGAATGGAGACCTTTCTTTTAAATATGTGAAGACCTTTAACATGGATGAATATGTAGGTAAGTATATCGTTTGAATATATTATTTGGATATGTTATATTTTAAATAAAATGAATATATTTTAAGAATTAATATGTTATTATTTATTTATGTTTTGAATGTAATATAATTAGAAGATAATGTACTGCCTTGTGGTGAGGTTGGGAGTTTATATTTAAAAAATCTATATTTTTGTGATGCCAGCACAATATCGTGGAGGAATATGGGACTAGAAATCAGAAGATCTGTATTCATTCTTGGGCTCTGCCACTTACCAATCATGCAACTTTGAGCCAGTACGTCACACATTTTGGTTTTTTTTTTTGTCCCCTTAAGGCAAAGTTAAAACCAGTGTTGTTGTGGGGATAGAGCACCACATATGTAAAAGTAATTAGTAAAATAAAGATTTTTCAAATATAAGTATATTTATATTTGTGGCTATGAAGCTTTTATGCCATATTGATTGTTAACTTGCTTAATAGGAAAGATCTGTGATGCGAATAAACTCTTGTTTTAAACTTTGAACATAGGAATACATTTTTAATGTTAGCCTAAGTGATAGCCAAAGAATTGTTGTGATTCAGTATACTTTGCATGCATATAGGAAAAATAGATGAGAAACATGGACCAACATTTCAGATGTATGGCTAATTATTGTTGAAATTAATACGTAAATCAGTTCCATTGGTAGAAGTTTTGTGCCTGAGAAGTGGAGTACGGTGATTAAATGCATGTGAACTAGATTTCTGTGTTTGAATTCCAGTCTTTCTATGAGCTGTGTGACTTTGGGAAAGTTACTTAATGTTTCTGTACTTTTGTGGTTTATAAGATAAGAATGATAAAAGTAATTCCATAGATGTTACATAAATCATTTGAATTAATACATACATGTAAGGTGATTAACGCCTGGCATATAATGACCATGTATTCCACATAAAAATGCCTTTAAATTGGATTTAATTTGGATATCCATTGGATATGGAATAGAAAGGTTATATATTTTAAATAGCATTTATGGCTTAATCAGAAAAGTAAACTTTGGATTTATTCCTGGAAATACTTACATTTTTATTTATTAACTTTTTATTTAGGACTTCCCAGAAATCATCCTGAAAGCTACCATTCTTATATGTGGAATAACTTTTTTAAGCATATTGATATAGATCCTAAGAATGCTCATATCCTCGATGGGAATGCTGCAGATTTACAAGCAGAATGTGATGCTTTTGAAAAGAAAATAAAAGAAGCTGGAGGAATTGACCTTTTTGTTGGAGGTACGTAAAACATTTTCTCATTAATCTTACCTTTGTGTAATGTAGGGAACTTCTGTAACTGTAATACCCATTTATTCAGCTACTGATTTTTATTTTACCTTATTTTCATCAAAAAATATTAAGGTCGCAAGTTAGAATTGCTTAAATTATGTCTTGAGAAATAAGTTCCAATACCTGCTAAACTCTTCTGTATTATCTCTTTAGAATTAACAGTTTACCACATCTTTCAAAATGAGTGATGTTTCTTTTCCTGAATGATAATTGTCTTTTATGATTTCTTTAAAATCCCAACCCAGCTTTCTTACCAAATTACAGGGTTAAATCCCTAAAAGTTTGCATGTGGAACAGTGGATTTTCGCGTTTCTGTACTGATCACTTAAATTACTTCATCTCATTAAAAAAATCAGTTAAGACTGATGTGAGACTTTATCATCACCCTTTAGTTAATGTGAACTAAGCTGTATAACTGTCTTTATAAACTCCACATGAATAAATGTTTAATTGGCTAAATTCCACTTGAAATTTATATATATCTACATGCATGTGTGCATTTATAATGTACCACTGAAAATAGGAAATTTCTTTGTAATGACAATATGGTTTTCTGTCGTCATTATGAAGCCTGAGACAGCTAATTAATTACCATAAGAATAGTATAACAGCAATGAAACTGAAACCAAAATGCTTTTTGCCAAAGTTTTTAGTATTCAACTACATGAACTAAAGCTCTAAATTAAGTTCTCCAGATATATCTTATATTTATTAAAAGACTGCTTAAAAGTATATGAATTAGATCTTCAGTAGAGCTGTATTGAGGCTGACTGATGGTTGAGGTGGCCAGATATAGTTGTGGTGGTTGGTTGCCCTTGGGGAAAATGGGGTATTACAGTCAGACATGAATTCGCATTCTGTTTGGGTCACTTATTATCTGTATGACCTTGGGAAGTTTATTGAAGTTCAGTATAATTGAGTTATTTGTAAAACAGGAATTAATCTCACTGGATACCCTTAGAAGTAATTCAGTAAAAAAGCAGGAAATTCAATGAACTAAGGAACAATTATTTCAACATCTACAGTTCAGAAAGAGAAGACTGAATAACACTTAATGGAGTACCAATTACACACCAACCACTATGCAAGCATTTTACACGTTATAACATGGTGAATTCTCACAAGTTTTGGAATGGTTAATATTGAGATTTTCTCTTTGAGGAAATTTCTTTCTGTACCTAACAGAGCCAATATCATTTACTTTATTTTGTAAATGGGATGGTTTTATCTGAGCAAGAATCTAAGCTAGACTGTTTCATTTTTCAAAATAGAAAGTTATCTATGTTTTAAATAAAATTCCAGTATTCCTGGAAAATATATGTATTCCAGTTTTGTCCATATGGTTCAATTCTGAAATAATTACTATTTGTACTTGCCAATATCAAGGGTAATTTGGGAACATTTAAGGAATGCACTACCCATGCATTCTTTAGGTTTTCTAAACTCCATACAAAAATCAAGTAGAATTACTATAATGTATACCTAATTACTGTAATGTAATTATACCTAATGTATCTGTATTTTAGTTATATCAAGAAATATTTCACTCATTTACCATTATACAAAAAGGCATGGTAGTTAATAGAGGTTCATTATTAAAAATGGCTTAATGAAAAATATCTTTTACTTCATTTAAATATTTTTTTTCCTTTTAATTTATTTGCCTTACCTAAGGATCCATGTGACAAATCCCTTGGGGATTCTATGCCAGAAAATAGAATTTACTTGGGTGGGGGGACCTAAGAACTCTTAAACTCCATTTTCTCCCTTTGTCTGCTTTCCAGGAAGTATTTACAGCTTAATGTAGTGTTTAAGCCTGAATATCCCTTATCAAAGATTTCTCTTAGAACTTTCTTCTTTTCCTATAGTTTTAAGTCACTTCTCATTTCTTTTTGGCTTAGGTTTTTTGGTGTATTTCCTCACTGTAGGTCACCTTAGTTTTCCCTTTGAAACAGATGGATTGTAAATTATAATTATGTGTGTGTATCACTGACTCTTATACTAGAAAGAACTTTCCTTTGTTTTCTAACCAATTTTTGTCTTAAGCTTCCTGTAGACATTTTCTCCTGACCAATCAATCAGTCAATCAATAAATAAGATTTCCTTGCCTCTTCCATTAACATCTTCACTGTAGTCATGTCATGATCAGGGTCTGCCATTTTATATTTACCATCCAAAAGACATAATTACTCTGTGTATAGGGGAAGAAGGGTTAGCTTATTGCATTTTCTTTGAACTTTTTCCTATTTGGAGTACCCTATTATTGGATGTATACTCATGCAAGAATCTCATTTGATTCTTTGCCTTTGTTGATCTAGATTTGTTATTGGATTTTCAAGATGAGGCTTGGTATTTGGGTCTTATCACTTACCCTTCTTTTGTTCCAGGGTTTGTTGGTTAATAAAAACACTTAAGAACTGAGCCAAATGGGATCAAAATATCAGCCTTATTAAAGGTAAAGTTGGATTAGAGATTTCAGGTTGGGCTTGAGGCCAAAATGGGGTTTCCTATTCTTCCCCTCTAAACTGGAAATAGTAGAATGAGAAGAGCTCAAGACTGTGAATCCATCGTGTCTTACTCCTGGGAAATAGAATAGGAATTCCCTTTCCTCAGTAGAAAAGAAAAAGGAAATATATACTGCCAGAAGTTCTCATTCTCCCTGTGATGACAGAATTGCTAAAAGAAAGAGTAGAGTGCAATCTACTTGCAATTTTCATTTTACAAAAAGATTGCAATCATGCAATCCCTGACCCACCCCCAGCAATAAAATACACAAATATGAAATTTTATAGATAAACTCTAAGGATATTATTAACTTTAAAATTATCTTAAGATACTGTTTTTTAAAAAAATAAAAAGACTGTGGGGAAAACCTTAACCCTCTCCTTTGGGTACATGATTAGAATCTTTGGTTTGCAAGTAACTGTAATCTACTTTGGGACCAAAAGTGAATTAACTAGAATGATTCTGGGCTAACGCACAGAATTGTTAGAAGAGTTGAAACAGCCAAGTCTGTGGAAGAACAAGAACCAAGGAGCCTCAGATCTCCAAAGCAGGAACTTATGGATACTCTCCTGCAGTGCTATCATCAGATACCTTAGCTGTAGATGCCCTCCTTCTTTTCTCCACCCCACACAGGTTTCAGAATTTCCTGAAATTCTGACTGTTTCAGCTTGGGACAAGTGTTTATCACTAGACCACAATCATCCGGACTCAGAGAGATACAGAGTAGATAAAGGTCCCCTCCATTGTGAGGGGAGCAGAGCAAGGTAGAAGGAGAAGAGAAAAACTATACTGAGCATACCAAAGAATAGCAACCATCTTTTCATTTATTCAGCCATTATTTATTGAGGGCCTCCTATGTGTCATGTATTATTCTAAGGGGTAAGGGTATAGTAATTAAGAGAAAGTCCTTACTCCAGTGAAATTTACATTCTACCCCACAGAACTGTAGGAACACAGGGAAGGCCTGTAATCCAGACTCTGATGTTTTAGAGATGTTTCCTAAAGGTGTAAATATATTAGTTTAGACTTAAAGACTGAATGAGAATGTGCCAGACATATTTATATCAGGAAGCTCAATTTCTAATAGTTACTTCTGGTCAGTAAGGGAATATATTGACCCTTCTCTGTCTTGAACCACTGCTGATAATTTCAGCCTTACTCTACACTTTTGTATGACCCACAATACCAGTTAGAACACTAATGTTGATCCTTGAGGACTTCCCTGTTTTTTCTGGAACTTTTATTTTCCTGGTCCCAGCCTTTCTTCTCTATACATACATAGAGAAATATAAATATTTACACAGATACATATTTAAGAGGAGAAACAGTAGTTTTACAAATCTGAATGAAAAGAAATGCATATCTATAATTTAAAAACTTATATTTATAGGCAGATACATATACACCAATGGAAAAATCCATACATAATAACCACATGTAGGTCAGGCCTTGTCACCACATTAAAAATTCCTAGAATGTGGTGCTTTGGTAGCTTATATTTGCTCCCTAAGATTTTCATTTCTTCTTTGTTCCATCAAAACCAGGTTATTCTGTCATATTTTACTTTATTGTAATCTGGGAGAAATTGGTTTGAATTATAGGCTAAGAGTCAGTAAAATACACATATCTGTCATTAAAGTAAAATGCAGAGTATAAATATAACAGGTATTTTGACTCAGAACTTGTGGGTTTATTTTTTCATTGAGGTTGTCAGAACTCTGACTAGCTAGTAGGGTACACATATGTAAAACTTGATTTATTCATGCCATAGAAGGATTCTTCATTTTACAAAAAGATTTACTTCCAGTTTCGTTCAAATAAGGAATGTCATATTTTTATCTATACTTTAGAGGCAGTCCTAGAATATTGGAGCTAGCAGTGGGTCTCTTTAAAGCAGTGTTTTCAGGTTGTGGTTGTCACCCATTATTAGGTTATGAAATCAGTATAGTCATTCACATTCTGCATTTTCCTTTTGTATGTTTTGCTAATGAAATAGAATGACTCCTAGCAGGGGTAAGTATTGTTTCATGCAGTTCTTGTTTTTAATTACATTTGTATGTGTGTATATGTGTGCTAGATTGCAGTGTCAGTTACATTCATGCTAGCTCAGTGCTAAGCATATGGAATACACTGAAATACTTGTTGAATCAAATACAGGAACAGGTATTTAATGCAGCATTAGAATATGGCTATTTGCTCTTAAAAACAAGCTGAACTTTGAGAAATCTTATTTATTTTATGCGTCTATGTGTGTGTATACTTCTTTTAAAAGGAATTGGTCCAGATGGTCATATCGCTTTCAATGAGCCAGGATCCAGTTTAGTATCAAGGACAAGATTAAAGACTCTAGCAATGGACACCATTTTGGCAAATGCTAAATATTTTGATGGAGATTTATCGAAGGTGCCAACTATGGCTCTAACAGTTGGTGTGGGGACAGTGATGGATGCAAGAGAAGTAAGAATTCAATATTCTTTGCTATCTGTAGATTTTGGAGGAATTATGGCACCAAATAATTTTTGTTACATCCTATTCACTAGGTAAACTGTTATCGAGCTCTCAATGACTTCTGTCTCACTGCCAAGTTTAGAGTCCAACTAAGTCTTTTGGAGCTAAGAATTAGGCACCACCCCTTCTGGAATACTGCTACATTGGCCTGTTCTGCTTCTCAGTTTGAGTTCCTAAAATCATACTGATCAAATGGTCTGTTTTTAAGTGAAATGGTGTGGTGAAAGGTCTGTTGTAACAAAAATGCAATGCTGGTTAAACTGTTTTTGGAGGCTCAGGATAATTTAGTGTAAAGTACTTCTTGACTGTGGGAGGATAGCCAGTTAGTTTACAGCATAAAAAGAACCCATTTAAGGCTGAATCTGTTCTAAATTTGGTATACTTAAGAAGGCAAGTACTCTGAACAATATATCCTGCCTAATTTTTAAATTTTTAATTGGGCTTTCATTTCCTTCCCTGAGAATAACAGAACAAATTATAGTCAGCTCAGGATTCTAAGTGGTTCAATTATATGGAAACTCCATTCCTTCCTGATAACAAGATGGGACAGGTTCAGAGGAAAGCGTACAGACAAGTTATGATGAATAAGTAATGTATCTTAATGTAAATATGTCTAGACTTGAACATACAAATAGAACTGTCATTCAAAATGAAGTTTTTCATCTAAAAATCATCAGTATGTGAAGAAAGACCTTCACGAATTGAAATTCCATAGTAATTAAGTTGAAAAAGATTTTAGAGCAATTGTATTTCTAAAATATGAAACTGAAAGTTATGCAAATAGATTTCTTACATTTAACAAGATTTATTTGCTAATTTGTAATGTAACAAGCTAATTCTTAGAATGAACAGAGAGTTATTAAGATACTGAATTTTTTTCTTTTGGTCAGTTTTTCAGGAAAATTTTATGATGTCACTCAGCTCAAAGTACTCACTCTCAGCATGACTACAAAGAAAATTATTATGACAAAACTATTCTAGGACTTCATTATTTTCCCAGGGGCCCTAGTGCTTTGATTTTTCTATCATTCTTTTGAAACAAGTATCACATCATCATACTTAATGATTTTCTTATCTTTAATTGTAAGGAGCTTAATGTGTACAGATTTTCATTTGCCAGTGATTTTAATTGTGATGTGAGCTGTTCTTCAATTTTAGTTTCATTAAGAACAGATACACTTAATAAAATTTTGAATCAATGTGTGGGGAAGATGCTATTATTAGATGGAAAGTACATATGAATGGTAAACTAAATTTCTAAGTGGTTAGTGTATCAGGAAGCAGCTTCACAGTTTGGCAGCTCTGTTAATGAGGACCTTCTGTACATAACCTTGGAAGTGACACCCTGCAAGTTATTATAGGTTTCCTTAAAATTTGGGAATTGTCAACTAGATAAGGAACCACTCCAGTCACTACTTTATCACTCTTCTTGGCTTGAGGCCTTCACACTGATTACCACTGTGAAATGCTCTACTTTTCCAGACCTTGCTTAGCTAAAATGGCACCTTTCAGTTTTCAACTTTCAGAATTACCTTTCTTGACCATAATCCTCATAGTCAAAGTTACTTTCTTCTATTTTCTCTTAGACCACTCTGTTCTTTTCCTTTGTAGCACTTCTCACAATTTCTGATTGTTCTTGTATGTTTACTGGTTTAGTATCTTTTTTCTCACTAATTTACAATCTCTGTGAGTTTATAGGTCATGTATATCTAGCACCTTACGCTGCTTGTCACATAATAGGTATTTAATAACTGTTGGGAATAGTGTGAATTAATTATGTTCATAATTCATGTTGGACAAAGTTCTATCCACAGCTGTCATTTACTTGAACCACCAAATCTGATTTTTGTTGACTTTAGGCTCTTTGCCAAAATCTAAATTTACCTTCAAAGGATTGAAATTTGTTTTTACTGAGGTATATTTAAAGATAATGTCATATACTTTAAAGATAATTTCAAAAGAGAAATTATTTTACACTATTGCAACATCTTTATAATTGTTATATATAATAATACTTTGGATATTTATTCTTAAGGTGACATAGGAAAAACTAATTTAAAAATCTGCTTTTGATTTTGCTACCTTGCTAAAAGTCACCAAAGTCAGTAATGACTTCTTCATTGCTAACAACCGGCATCTTTTCTGCAGGTCTTATCCTCTTGGGTCTCTTTTCATCATCTACTACTGTTGACCATCCCTCCCATCATAAAACTCTGCCATTACTCTTCTTACTTTCTGAGCATTCCTTCTCAGTCTGCTTCCCAAGCTTTTCTTCTTCATCTGCCTTTTGAATATTGTTGTTCCCTAGGGTTTCATTCTGGAACTGCATATTCACTCTGTATGCTTTGGGGCATGACCTTTTTTCTTTTTTTTTTAATACGTCAATAGCAGTCACTCCTTGAAACGTTCTTTCAGTAGTTTCATCACTATTCCAAAAAGATAAAGTACTCCCAGTACAGTGATAATAATATGTATCTTTATCTTGTACTCCTGAAGCTGCACGTTTTGTATTTCCAACTTCCAGGTGACATCTCCATATTTAGACTCCCTATACTTAAGCTGTCCAAAATTTAAATTTATCTTTCCACCAAATTTGCCTTTCTTTTGAATATTCCCTCCTTTGGTGAGTAGCAACACTCACCATGAAAATTAGCTTGATGGGGCGCCTGGGTGGCTCAGTTGTTAAACATCTGCCTTAGGCTCAGGTCATAATCCCAGGGTCCTGGGATCAAGCCCCGCATCTGGTTCCCTGCTCGGCGGGAAGCCTGCTTCTCCCTCTCCCACTCCCCCTGCTTGTGTTCCCTCTCTTGCTGTGTCTCTCTCTGTCAAATAAATAAATAAAATCTTAAAAAAAAAATTATATGAGGTTGAAACGTGTCATTGTTTCTTCTCTACATCTAATCAGTCACCAAATCCCAACCATTTAACAAATAACTTAGAGGTAAATAAGGACTATTAAGCCTATGTATCAGTTTTTTCAAGGATTATTGCAAACCCCTTCTCAATCATAAAAATGGTAAAGATTCATTCTGACACATACACCCTTACTCACATTTGCACATGTTCTTGAATTATAGGCTTTTAGGAATTTGGGACCAACAGCTTGGATTTTCTGTAATTCATAAGGGTATTCTTAGTCTTGTGTGCTTAAAGGACAGTTCTTACATTTAAGTAGATCCCTAATCCTTCTTTAAATCTAGTTTTAGACAACTTTGATAAAATCTGTGAAATAGTCTTTAGGCTTCTTTCTCTTTCAAAGTAATATCTACTGTATTGATTGCGTTAGAGCAATTTGGTGTATCATTCCTAGTTATGTAAATTCTTTGTTGACCTGCAGTTCTGCTTTTGCAAAACAGCCCTTTTCTTTCTTTTTTCTTCATTTTCCCAGGTCACTTACGCACATCAGTATCTAATGTATTAAGTACCTGCATTATGGTATATTCAATAATACTTCATAAGAAGATACTATTTTACTTTCTTAAACCAGAAGTTACACTTTATGCTTGCCTTTTACCTTGAAGAACAAAAATAAATATCTTGAACTGTGAAGAAATATGTAGCTATTTTATTTTACCTTCAGAAGAGTATTGGTGCTAACATCTTTCTTTAAAAAAAAAAATAGAGCTTTTTAGTCATTTGAAACATGTTTTAAGAATTAATTAACATGTAATGGTCATGACTTTTCAGGTAATGATCCTCATAACAGGTGCACACAAGGCATTTGCTCTCTACAAAGCAATAGAAGAAGGAGTAAATCACATGTGGACTGTTTCTGCTTTCCAGCAGCATCCCCGAACTATTTTTGTGTGTGATGAAGATGCTACTTTAGAATTAAGAGTTAAAACTGTGAAATACTTTAAAGGTGAGCATTGAAATTTCAGAAGCAGACTGTGAGAATGTCCCATTGTAGATGACAATTAAAACTTAGTAGAGTGTGGAGTCACATCTTGCACTGTGCCTATTGAAACCAGCATTTTGCCAACACAGTAGCCAGTTCTTTTTAAGGAATAGAAAAATCTCACCTCAAATAATAACTTTCAAAATAGTTTCCTATTTTTTTCTGAAATCCAAAATTTGATAAAAAATATCTTACTTTCATATTGTATATGTAAGAGTAAGTAACCCAAAAGGAAATATATATATATATACACATATGTATATATATATACTTTCTGATTTTCTTTTCATTGTTTCCCTGCCCCACCTTCCTCACTAAGGTATGGTTTAGAATCTAAGCAGCAGGTAAGTTGGGTCACCCACTATCTCATTTAATCTTCACAATTTCAAATTATTCCCATATATCAGTTATAATGGTTCAGTGTCAGAGCAGTATGGAATAAACTCTGCAAGTAAGTAGGGGTTTGACTGCCCAGACTTCTGCATGTAGCTTGTCCTTTTGACTCTTCCCTGCTGTCTAGTTCAGTAATTCTTAAACCTTCCCGTACCGGGTTGTATGTATGAAACTACATGTGCTTGATGTAATGGGTGATTTAAGAGATTTTCAAGGAAAATTTGACTATACTGTTTAGAAACCATTCCCTGCTTAAGAGTGAATTCCACATATACACACACATAATAAACAAGCTGTATAAATAGGTGCTCTTTATAAAGTATTTATATAGCTGATATGAAAATATATAACTGGTCATCTATATATATATACACACATACAGAGTATGTAGTATGTGTACTATTGATACTGGATGGATATGTATTTTTAATCTTTGTACTCTAGTTGCTAGGTGCTTATTTAACATGTATTAGAAAAAATACACTAAACCGATCAAACTTGTATTCTGTATCATTTTGACAGTTAAAGAAGTTACCATATTTTATTGCCTGTGAGACACATCTTTTTTCACATCTATCTTGTCTAAAATTGGGATGTGTTTAAAATTGGTGTCATTATCAGTTACCTAGTAGTATTTTTTCTTAATGATACATAAAATAATGTGTGTCTCATAGTCTTCAGCATCATTCATGAAATAGTATATAAATTTAAATTACAAGTCAATTTAAAAGAAATCTTTAACTCATAGTTCATGTAAATGGTGTGAATGTGGCAAAAATCTTGATGATACACAAATGAAGTTTGATGAATAGTGAACAATCAAAATTTTAATCATGCTTGGGGCGCCTGGGTGGCTCATTTGGTTAAGCAGCTGCCTTCGGCTCGGGTCATGATCCTGGAGTCCCGGGATTGAGTCCCGCATCGGACTCCCTGCTCAGCGGGGAGTCTGCTTCTCCCTCTGATCCTCTCCCTCTCATGCTCTCTGTCTCCCATTCTCTCTCTCAGATAAATAAAAAATCTTTAAAAAAAAAATTTTTTTTAATCATGCTTAGTTTTATATTTGCACTTAGCTGTTGTGAGCACTTTCCTATTTCACTATTCTTCAAATGCATTTTTAATGGCTATATAAGTAGATGTATCAAAATTTACTTAAACCTTTCCTTACTGTTAAATGCTTAATTATTTCCAGTCATTTATATTTTTATCAAAAGTTACTTTTTTTTTTTTTTTTTTTACCAAGCCACAGAAGTATCAAATTAAACTGAAATATTGTCAAGTTTTTAAATAAGTTGACAGGTAAAAGAGATCTGTGATGAGTTATGAATAAGAGTCCTTGTATGGAGTTTTACCCATATATTTCCATGTAGTCTTTCAGATTTCATTACAAATAGATTCCTTGAAAAAATTAATAAAAGGAATCCCCATTATCCACATATTTTAATGCCAGAGATTCATTTAACATTCCCATGTTCTGCTACCAGCAATCCTCAGGTAAACCCTTGTGCTTATCAAATGTTGTCAATTCCATTTTTATCATAAAATGTTTACATTTTAGTGTAGTAAACATTTAATAAGATAATAATAGCCAATACTTCTATGACCAGGCACTATTCTAAATGGATTATACTTGATTTACTTAAATTCTCACAATCCAATGAAGTGGGTATTCTTATAATCCCATTTACAGGTGAGTTAACAGGCTTAATAGAGATGTTAAGTCACCCAAAGTCATACAGCTCATACGTGGGCAGAGCTGGGTAAGCGAAACCAGTCTTATCTGGTGTCTGGGCTTTTGTCCACTGTTTATACTGCGTCATAGAAGAGAAATAAACTCTGGCTATCTAAATCATATTTCTGTTTGTTTGGGTTGCTTTCATACTGTAATAATTGCTTCCAAAAAGGTATGGACATAAAGATAATTTAAAACACAAGGGGGGTAGGTGATTACATGTATTTTGTTCTTTTAATTCATCTGTCCAGATTCTAAGCTGTTCTGAAACATTTCGAAGTATAGACTATTCATGAGAGAATCGCTGCACTGCTCTTTTGAGGACATTGTATTTTCTAATATGGATCTGTATGTATTTCTGGAGAGGTTCAGGGTTATCAGCCTGTCAGAGAGTGCCTCCTGTCAATATGGAGAAAAATGGAATTGAGATATTATTCTGGGCTATATGCAGACCTCATTTTACAGTAAGGTATTTTAATACAGGGTAGAGTAATTGAATATTCATAAACTTATACGTAAGTATAGTTTTATATATTTGCCATATTCTCATTGAGGTATTTTACCACTTTAAGATGTACTGGAGGATATGAATCCTGTAGTTACCTTCTGTAGTTCTTCAGATTCCAGTCACATTACTACCCTATCTTCTGCCATCACTAAAATGTGCTCTAATTATGTAGGCCCAGAAGAAAATCTAGGTTAACTGCATCTAAAACAATAAAAATCATTGCAAATGGAAGTTTCAGTATATACCTTTTGGAAGATAGAAGTAAATTGCAGGAAAAGTTTAATATTTAATGTTTTAGTCTAATTTTTTTGTTTTTGCTGATTTTATATAAAGCCTGTATTTTATGTCCTTGAGAGTATATTTTCAAGACCTCATCATTATGGTGAACATTTTTGCTTCATCCTTTGTAGACCCTATTCCAGTAGCTTGAAACAGAGATTGAATGATTCAGATGGAGTCAGAACCATAAAATTGACATTTAGAATCTATGACATTTAACAGCTTCTGGCAACATGTTAGGAAGTCTATACGTTTTAGTACTCAGAATTTATTTTTTTCTGTTAATGATTTAAGTAGCAATGATTTGTTTCTATCAAATTCTTGTATACAAAATTGTCAGTTTTACCTTAAGTCATAATAAATTCTTTATCATCCAAAATGCATTTCTAGTTTGGAAACAGCCTTATGTGTAAAAGTTACAGCCAATGTATAGTTAAACTTTATAGAGTTGAATTTTTAATGTTTATTCTGATGTTTTGGGTTTTCAAGCTCTAATGTGTTATTTCCATGATCAAAGCTGTAAGTAAATGATAGATGAATTGTATCAAGTAGAATGATCCTCTTAATTACAGTGGCTTCTCCATAGGAGGTTACATCTTCTAAACTGAGTGGCTAAAATTACCATTGTTTTTGTGTCCCCTCTCCTCCTAGGTTTCTCCAGTTCCCATTTTACTGCTCTTTACATTCTGGTTGTTGAAATGTATTAAAACTTTTCAGTTAAATCCTGTTTTAAATAGGATTGGTTCTATTTAGAGATATTATCTGGTTAATTGTTTTCATTAGCAAATATTTCTTCTGCACTATAAAAATTACCCTTTAATGTGTATTTTTAGTAAATATAAATTATATTTTCCAGTTAGTGTCATCAGCCAAGAAAACAGGCCAAAGTGCCTTCAGGTACATAGTCTCACATGCTGTTAGTGAAAAAAAAAAAAGAAAAAAGAAAAGTGTAAGATCTCTTCCTGAAAGTAGTTGACTCAGCATCATAAAAAGTTGGCTTATTAAGTGATTTGAGAAAATAAAATGTAATATATTTCGTTAAAAGCTTCACAAAGGTTCACTGCATTATTTCAGCATCTGGAAGTGTGCCTGGTACATTGGAGGCATTTGATAAATTGTGGGTAGTTGGGACAGATGGATGGATGGGAGAACACAGGACTATGAAACCACCGCAGTCTAACCACTAAATTATGTAAAATCACCCTATGAAGCCCAAAGGATATTAAATAAAAAGAGTTAAATAGAAGCTGAAGAAAACTTTTTGAGTTGACAGGATGGAAAGCCCTAGAAAATGGATAGTAGCACTCAGATTGGGAGGAAATAGCTCTTCCATAAGAGCTAACAGGAGCAAAACAAATTCCCATTAATAGAGAACAGTTCAAGTATACTGATAAAGGGCTAGACTGTATTTTTTTAATTTTTTTTTGTAATCTCTACACCTAACATGGGGCTTGAATTTACAAACCCAAAATCAAGTCACATGCTCTTCCAACTGAGCCAGCCAGGAGACCCTGGGCTAGATTATACTTTAAAAGCAAAAGGAAATGTAAAGGTTAAGAGCAAAAAGGAAAACCAGGGTTCAAATGTCATGACTCTTCACCTCTTTTGGGTCATGGACCACTATGAAAATCTGGTGAAGAGACTGTCCTCAGAAGAAAATGCACACATGCACACACACTTGCATACACAAATTTGTATATTAATGCGGGAGATTCAAAGACTCCTTGAACCATCTCTAGCTCTTTTATATCCTAAGATTGAGGCTGTACTTGATTTCTGCCAGGTGAACAGCTTCCAGTTGTCATGTTTGGGAGTCAGAAATGATTCAGTATTGACTGCTCTACTTTTTTGGCATTCTAAGTTTAAATCTTTGGTTATGTTTAAATACGGAGTCTTCAACTTTTTAATGGCACCTTGGATTTTTTTATTAACCTCCTTCAGTATAGTTTGTTATCACCCCTATTGTAAATACACATGTCAAAATAGTGGAAAATAATTTGCCAAATGAATGGATAGGGTAATACTTTGGGGAACTTAAAGCTATCCCAGTTTAATAACGGTTCTGAGTTCCTGGGCTGGAGTCTGGTAGAGAAGTGCAGAGGATCAAACTCAACAGACTTATAGGATGTAATTAAAATGTATTAACCAGGTCATTATTCAAATTTGTTATTTTGCCATATTGAAGCTTTGAAGGCAAGAACTGCTTCTACTCCCAAGGAATTTGTACTCATTCTATATCTACAGCTTCATAAATAACTGTAAATTACTATTTGCTAGGTAGTTACAACTAAACATTATGAAACATTTCTATTTGCATTTTTCAATAAAACTTAACTATTCTGTATCGGATGGGAACCAGTATACTTATTGTATCTTATAAACTATTTTCTAAGGTAAATGAGAGATAATTCAAAATTAAAAATAAAACTAGAATTGTGCTTTTTTTCTTTAAGGTTTAATGCATGTGCACAATAAACTTGTGGATCCACTATACAGTATGAAAGAAGGAAATTGAAGGAGATTGGAGCAAAATTCTGCTTGAATGAACAGAACACTTTTTTAAGTAGTAGATGAATTTTCAGCTATGCAATATAAAATGGGGATTTTTTGAAGACTGTCATTTTTGAAGTCCAATATCTATATGTTAAACATTCCATATTTAGAATGTGTCCATTTTATACTAAGGTTTAGGAGAAGTAGTTGGTTCTCACAAATACCTGTTTATTATAAAGTACGGAAGCCACACAGCCACTCTGTAAAACATCACAGAAATGAAATCTTTGTTTAAAAATTTCAAGTCATTTTAAATGTGAAGAATCTACACATCAAGTATCATTCATATGAATCTGGTGGCATTCTCAGAGTTACTTTTTAATCACATAAAGACACTCCAAGCCTTTCAGATATCAAACAATCATTGCAAACCTTTACTTTTGGAATGTAATCTTTGTATTTTCTGTGCATTACACACAAGCTTTTCTGCACGTGGTTGCCTTAGTCATCTTTCTGCAGTAGCATCTGGACATCAAAAGTCCTGCTATATATTGTTGGAACAGAGAATATGAAGAGATGCCAGTGCCTAAAAGTACAGTTTACGTCCTTTTGGAAAGTATGTATAAGTGCATGATTTTTGTGCACCGCCTTCTATAGCACTTTTTTACAAATGTGCTCTTATTTTTATTTAATGACTTGGGTTCATGCTTTTAATATAAGTATTTTGGCAATTATGAACTTTATACCTAGCAACATACTTAAATTCTTTTGAAGACAATTTTCTGATTACTGTTAAATTCATAAATGATTAGCTTTATTCCTTAATTATATGTCTAAAAGGATAACATGATGAAGTATATATAAAAGGAATTACTGTAAACTTAGATTGCCATTAACAACTTGCATCATTAAATTGCCAATAAAAGTATATTGTTTTCTATCTTTAACTCAAATAAAGCTTATAATAAACAAATGTTATCTAAATTTTATTTCCAGAAGTGAAACTGAATACATGCATCTGAGATATTCCAACATTATTAGTAGTATTGATTCTGTATTTACTTTTTGTTGCCATCAGGCACTTAAGAGGTTTAAGTTAGAAGACAGTAATTCTACCTATAATTTCTTTTTTTTTTTTTTTTTTAAAGATTTTATTTATTTATTTGACAGAGA